TGTAACCATAAATCATCATGTGCGATTTCCAAAACTATGGACAATTAACGTTAACATCCTTAATTGGTAGAAAAAAAAATTTTCCTCGATGCTCCTTCCTAATTCTATAAAAATGTGGTTGATTGAACTAAGGTTAGGATATAAATGATTTCATTTCATAGGCAATGATGCAAATCAACATTTTCAAAAAATTAGTGCGACCACATAAATCGATTCCAAATCCCCTATCGGTTATTTCAAAGATTAATAGCATTCTTCAGTTAAAGAAAATGTCGGTCAATGTTAGTCTCGACTCATACGACAGAGAGCAGGTGAAATTGATGGAGGAAATGTGCATTCTTGTAGACGAGAATGATCGAAGAATCGGTGCTGATTCGAAGAAGAATTGTAAGAATCTTTTATTAACACGCATTTTTGTTTTTTTTTTTGTTTTTAAATTATATCTATCTAAAATGCACTTTTATCTGACAATTCAGGTCATCTAATGGCAAATATAAATAAGGGGCTCCTTCATCGTGCCTTTTCTGTTTTCCTTTTCAATTCCGAAAATAAATTATTGTTGCAACAACGGTCTGATGATAAAATTACATTTCCTGGCTTATGGACAAACACTTGCTGTTCGCATCCTTTGAATACCCCACTTGAATTGAAAGAAGATGATCAAATTGGTTGGCGGCATTTATTTTATCTCCTGTCGAATGTTCATGGTCTATATCGTGCATGTGTTTATTTATTCCGTTTAATCTTTAAAAGGTGTTCGCCGTGCAGCTCAAAGAAAATTAAATCATGAGCTGGGTATTAATTATGAACAAGTGCCTCTTGACAATTTTTCATTTTTGACCAGAATTCATTACTTGGCGCCTTCTGATGGAATTTGGGGTGAACACGAAGGTATTTTTTCATTATGCAATAAATTAGGGAAGAAACTTGCGTCAAATAAAAGTCACTAAACTTCTTATTTTCCACCTAATAGTTGATTACGTTCTCATAATTCGAGCTAACGTCGATCTCGAAGTTAACGAAAACGAAGTCAAGGCTGTGGAATATTTATCTTTGGAAGACTTACGAAAAAGATTTAATAATCCCGGCGGTAAGTCCCAAAGATTAAAATTGCCACTTTTAAATTTATGCTGATTCATAATTTTACTAAATAATAGATTGGAAATTTACGCCCTGGTTCAAACTGATCTCTGAAAAATTTCTTTTCGACTGGTGGGAAAAATTGAATGATCTTGATGGATGCAAGGATGTTAAAAAAATCCATAAACTGGGTTTTAACTAATCTTAATTTAATTCGTATAATAAGTTTTTAATTAATTTATTAATTCACATATACAATACAGCATTAACAGCATTAATCGATCTGAATATCTATGATTACAAATGCAATAAATGTTTTATTCATGAGAGAAAAAAAAAAAAAAAAAAAAATCCATTGATACTATCCAACATTATCAAAAATCCTAGAATTGATGATACCAAACCAATCTTGAATTTAAATCTAATATCTTTTTTTTTTTTTTTAATCGATTCATTAAAAATCATAATACTGTAGTAATAAATGGAATGAATAAGCAAAATGAATTAATTCATTTGAGAAAGATAAATTTGTATTCAAAAATTCAAAAATTCAAGCATGAAAAAAAAAAAAAATTTCTCATTCTTAATTCAAGCAAGAAAAAAAAATTATTTTTTTTTAACGTGACAATATTGACTATAATTTTTTTTTTTTTATCATTATTAAAAAATTTTTTAATGTGACAATATTTATAATTTTTTTTTTTTGTTATTGAGATTAATAAGATTCCTTTAAAAAAAAAAAAATTTATTAATTCTCTTTATTAAAATTATTTATACTGTTCATAAATTCACATGTTATTTTGTAACACAATTATTTATTATTATCATTTTCCTGTTATAGTGGATTCTCCGAAAAGTACCATTGGAAGATCCTAACAATGATAATAACTCGGGAAGTCATGTGAAATATTCCTTAAGGCAGAGATGTGCAAAGAACTTTCGGACAAAGAACTGTTTGGTTCTAATGAAAATTCCGATTTTTCCGAGTCAGAACCTGAATTTCTTGATACATCTATTTCCAATGATACAAATTCTCTGTTCGTAGAACCACCACAATCACCCTTTCATAGAACCACCTTTCAAGAAATTCCGGGGTTAGTGCTTTATAAACAATTTTTACCTCAAGAACAACAAGATGAACTTGTCGATGGAATCATTGCCGCAAATTATTTTAACACCCAAGAATCGAATCAAGCAATGTGCTTTGGTGACTTACCTCCTTTCATAATAAAAGTTGTAGACCTCATCGCTACTGT